TATACAAATTCAATCTCCCTACCAGCCATAATTAGCTTCGGTGGGTTTTTTTCAGACAAATGAAAATGGTCATGTATGGTTATACTGAAATAATACAGAGAGGATAAAACGTGAAACGAAGTGTCTGAGCAATTTTGAGTAATTCAAATGAAGATAAGAGACACTTTATTGTCATAAAGTATTTTAAAGATAAGATTGATAGACTATAAATTTTATAAAATAAAGTTTCCATAACTTTATTTCATATGGCTTTACTCTCTAATATGCATAAATATTGATATGAAAAATGTTAAACCAATCAAGATAATTTCAGTCAATAATCACAATGAATTAAAATATAGATTACGTTACTACACACATAATAGGCAAAAGTAAAACTTGATGGTAGGAAGACAGGTGTGCTGATGATAGTAGTAAGAAAAATTATAAAATACGATTTAAAAAAAAGTTTTATTATCACACTTTCGTTGAAACAACTGCACTCCTGTAAAAATTACCATAAATGTATAAAAGTAACTGTTACATACTTTATCAGAATAAAAAAGTATAAAACCAAGGTATGAATTGATTGAACCTCGATGCTAATCAGTGATCTTTCTAATTAACAAGGCACTTTACTCTATTAGCCAAAATGAAATGTTGAATGGCAAATTTAATAAATCATTCAGTTACAATGTAAAAAGACGTAATTGTCAGTTCAAATCCCATAGTGATAGAGATAGTAGAAATATTGCTGGTAATGGAGAAAATGGGGGCTTCGAAGATGTTATGATTCGAAAAGTATAATTCAGTAAGATGACTTTAAAAAGAGAAAGATAGAGATGAGGAGGAATTCAAAAGGTTAGAATTTGAGAGAACACAAAGAAGGAATGCACCTGCACCATTGCAAACGATTTCGAACCATGTCATCCAGGGTTTCTAACCATCGGTGACTTTCGTCCTGCGGACCCCGTCCAGATAGCCTATATCTGCCATGTTTCGATTTGGCCGCCCCTAGCTTTCTTCCAACCTACTCCTATACCACAAAACATAGCTCGTCGAGGCAGAACTATGTTTTGTGGTGTAAGAATCTTGTATAATACTTGGGTATTGACCACGAATAAACACACTTCATTATTAAACCTTCGTTTTAACTAATTACCTCATCATATTCTGCACCTAATAAGATACGATTTGTATTATGCTTTAAAACAATACACGAATAAAAACTTTCCAAATGTTCATGAAACAAGTTTTTGTTAGAGATTTCACAGTCTCTATAAAAAGTGACAAAACTAAGCAACACTTCAATGTAATTATATATATATATATATATATATATATATATATATATATATATATATATATATATATTCTAGAAAAGTTCTCAGGAACAAGAGTATCATATAAGCGAGAACATAATTAAAAACCTCAAATCAATGAAGCACTACTGTCTGAGCATAAACAAATTAGAACTCAAAACACACAGTTAAAACAGAATGAATTATTTTCCAACTACTCTAACACAATATTTAGTACAACATAGATTGTCATGAGAGAGAAATAGAACACCATACACTCTTGTGTATAACAACAAAAACATTAAGGTCATGAGACGGATCAAAATTTTTCTTTTTAAATTTACAACTTTGACGTTTGTTTTTTTTTTATTTCAATATTTAAAAACAAAATATGTCGATAGGAAAAATTAGAAAAATAAATAAATAAACCACAACTTGATTGATATAAATAATAATTCATATTTTCAAAAATTTTGCATTGCAAATGAACTATTTATTCAAACAGTTTTGTGTTTGTTTTTTTTTCATCAGAAATTGAACACATTGAACATATTGTACAAAAATATCAAAAACCTCACACACAAAAAATTTGAATTCATTAAAATTTTAAACATTTTCTTTTTATTTTGTATTTTAAACCCCTTCCGATCGGAATTAGTAGACAAGTGTTAAAACCGTTGAGAAATAGAAATATTTCTGTCGTCATTTTCAAGCATAAATTAATTCAACTTATTGTTCGTTTAGTGAATATTTTACTGAGACTAAAAATCAAAATAAAACAAAACACTTATTCACCAAGGACCTGACCATAAATTTTACTTGTTAGCCGAAGGAATATTTAGAATTATCAAGTGTGATAGACAACTATTTGATCAGTTAGCAGTAATGCAATATGTGATAACAGCCTATTGCAATTAAAAGTTTTTGACTACTTATTTCAATTTCAGTAGTTATGTTTTATTCAAGATTTATTTGGAAGAAAAGAATTTCGTTAAGAATTGAAGCAGAACTAGTTCCCATGCATTGCATTATTCAATTTCTGTGAACTTGAGAACAACTCTACTTTCTTCATGAATGTCTTCGTCAACATGTTCTGCCAACAAGCATCAGATACGGACAAGATGAAGAATAGCGGAGCAAGTCGGAAGACAGATGGTACACTTAATGATCACTGATGCATATTACTGGATCCATAAATAAAGCTTTCTGTCAGTGCTTCACCGTGAAAAAAAAACTGGAGGCTGATTAAAATGTATTAATTCCTAGTTTCTCTGAAGATTGTGTGCTAAATTGGAACGGTTGCACACAGACCATTTTCACATGAGCTACTTTGGCTGAACAAATTACTTCGTCCACTAAATTCGAAAATTAGACTTTTCATTTTATAGCTAGTAAAACAATTGTCAAGTCATGCTATTTATGTGGTAAATGGCATATTGCAAAATCTTATTGATTAGTATTTACAGTTATAACTGTAATAAAGTTTTAGATACGATTTGTAAGAGTGCCAACAAGCTGACTACTGATAAGTCATGATTCTGAGCAAAACTTACCTAAAGTAATTAATAGAAACGATTTATCGGAACTCATCAAAGTTTCCAGTGACAGTTCACAATTGATGGAGCTGACTAATAGCTAATTGAAGTTTGATCAACCATTAGTGATACTGACTGCGTAGAACTCATTATATCTGATAAATAATTATTTTATTCAGTGCATATTTGAAATCAACATGTAGCTTGATTAGTGGTATGATTTGTAATAAATATTAGCCTAGTTTATATTTCGCAGAAATAATAATGTTGCCGCTAACTTTTCTTGTTGTGCATAAGCCGTCATTTCAGAGAATAAAAAACTTGAAACCTGTCATTTAGTTGGTCGAAAGATAAGAGAGTATATATGAGCACTTTTGGAGAGTAAAGATACAATTTGTAGTCATTAAACAACCCCTTCATTGATTGTCTGAAGTGTATTTTCGGCCTAATTTACTACTTATGTTTAGTCAGTAGTTTGGATAGAACACCATAGAATCTGTGCCCTAGTTGGATAGTTGGTGACAGTTTCTGCAACTCGGATACTGAATTTAACAATCAATCACAGAAAAACAGACACAATTTGCAAGAAGATCCTTAGGTAGGAATATCTATCAAAATTACACATGTTCTCGTTAAGAATATCACCTTCAAACCGGTAGGCTTAAGTCGTTTAACTGTTAATGACACAGGTACTTTGCATCAACACCATGTTATAGAAATATTATCAATATAAAGTGTCCGTGATCACTAAGGTTTACAGATTAAAATGGAAAGTAGTAACAAGCACCAAACAGAAGATGTAAATTTTAATTGCTCCTAATTCGCTTTCAACATTTTAACATAGATTCATGCTACTGCATGTGTTTTCTTTGAACAGACCTCCATTCTGGTTCGTACAGTTTTGTACGAATACAAATGACTAAGAGAGATAGTACACGAGCTTGCATTCAATGAGCTGCGTGAATACCAGAGGTATCTGTACAGTTTGATAATAAATTATGGAAATATTATAAGCTACAAATGTGGGTACACTTCGTACTACAAGAACTCATCATCAATATGTACGCATTCTTAAAGAATAAGTGTAAGACTTATCTTACTTATACGTCAGTTTTATTATTCATTGAAAAATAATTCTGCAAATGTTTAGTGTGTTTCCTTTCAGAACCAAGCTATATTAAATTGGCTATTTTCTGCAATAACCTCAAGTGTTTGATATAACATTTTGGCTTCTTTAAAATATCTTAAGTTAAGGGCATATATAGATCTGGCAAACTAGCATTCGTTACAGCTTATACAACATCATAACGACCGCAAATAAGAAAGAATATGGTAATATTTGCCGACATCGAATCTAGCTCTGTTGAGAGAGAAACGAAAGATAAAATAGCTAGAATTGTTAGGAAGAGCCTCAACAATCAATACAACTTAATGAAGTCCTGAACAGTGTGGAATCTTGACTCTACATTTTAATTGAAAATCTTACATAGAAAAAGATTTCTTAAGGTCTTAACTGGCTTGAAAAAAAGTGTCAACAACGAGAGGAATCTAGTTTGATGCCGAACGAAGTTCATCCACATTGCTTTGTGACTAACTACTACATTGAGTAGAAAACTATTACCCAAAACATCTTCACACGTGTTGGGGATGTTAGATCCCCAGAACTCGCTTGATAAATATCTTTATTTCGGATTTATTTCATCGACCGATCAGTTGACCTTGAGATCACATTCCCCACCACGAAAATCCTTGGCTATGATTGGCTACTGATTCATTTTAGTGTGCTATTTTGCGACTGTCCCGAGGATGTCTCTATAGAGTATAAATAAACGCAATTTGAGTGCTTGGATTCATTGTGTTCTGGATGGGTGTTTGCAGAATACAATTCCTACGCTAATCAAGACTTCTTACTGATTCAATTTGGTCAAGGGATCACAGTAGCCTACCTGGACGCTGGTTGACTGTTTGTTCTCGTTATTCGACTAAGATGAACTCGTAATAGTTTAAGCATACCTAGAGACGAGCGTAAGAACACGGTTTGCAGACAAATTCTACAAATCACCAAATTTTACAAGTTATCTGGAAACATGAGATCGACCTCATCAAAAGGACCACTAAGTGTTGAGTTTTTACTTTTTTTATAATTTTTTTTAATATCTACAAATTTTATTTTATACTGCTACAATTTAAATTAGAGAATTGATTTGAACTTAACAAGAATGACCATCTAACGTAGCTAAAATGGAAATAGGACATTGAACTATTATGCAACAATCACGAATGAATCACAAGATTAGAAAGTTAGCATCACAAACATTTTGAAAATCTCAAGTTACTGGTCACCTAAATGCAGTGATGCATGCATGCAAATAGTCTGAACGTTGTTCGTCATAAGGTGTGACACAAAATGCATTATTCAATCCATAGTCAAACAAGGTCAGAATGAACAATCCATGTAAGAGTGCATTTTCAATAACGGAAACTTATGATATCAATATTTGGTTTTTAGAATTTGAGAAAATAAGGTATGCATAGTTTTGAAAAATTCTCAAAGCAGATTAAACTAGAAAATATAATATCATGCAATAAAATATATGGCTATTGAGCTTACTTAACTAATAGTTTGTTAAGATCTGACAATTGCAAGCAAAGACCTAAAACAGTCGCACACACACACAGAGACACTAACACCAACTACATATTAAGAGTAAAATGAAGACCAAGTGTTAGTGCTACACTATAGTATACTTTTATTATACAGAAAATAGAAATACTGTACAAATTAAAAATATCAAAAGACAATCACGTTTTCTCCTCTTTGGATACTTTTGTTAAAGCAGAACCAATGCCAAGACGTTCTAGTTCTTCAGCTAGTTTCCCAGAACGATGCATATCTAAAAGAATATCACAACCGCCAATAAATTCTGCATCAAAATATAATTGAGGGAAAGTAGGCCAGTCGGCAAACACTTTGGCAGCAGCTCTTAGCTCTTCATTCTCCAGAACATCATATGACGCGAAAAGATTTGGATCATCTCCTTTACATGCTTTTTCTAGAATTCCATGCATTTCTAAGATACGACAAACAGCATTGCTGAAACCACATCGTGGTTCACTTGGATTGCCTTTCATAAAAAGCACAATACGACTCCCTTTCACTAATTCAGCAATATTGTTTACTGAATTGTCTGATTCAGAGGTAGAAAACTGTCTACGAATAGCATAATTGAACTGAACGAAGTTTGGTGAGGTGATAGGATATTTTCCAGGCTGAAAGTGTAATACAAGCAGAAATAATAAGTGAATAAACACAGTTAGTGTGACAATAGGGGGAATACTGTGAAAGTATAACTTTTGGTACAATCTTTCGAAGGACTATAGCTTATATTTTAATTGTATAATCATTAGACATCTTGTGGGTTCTTGGGTTATTGCTGTCGTAGTTGAGAATTACGTCTGTGTGGGTTGGCTTCCGAAATACTTCAGTTTCTAGTTTTCCTGTGTTAGTTCTGGTGATTAGTACATCCACAAGATCAACTGCATGCAAACTTTGTTCAAGAGAGCGAAGACACACTGCAGCACATACGAAGCATTAAAAAACGAGGAAAAACATCTGATGACTATCTTTCAAAAGAACGGCTATCCACGCAACTTCATCAAAAAACATCAGCCGAAATCGTCAACAGAAGCGAAATCAAGTACAGAAACCAATAAACGCATCATCCTACCATACATCAAAGACATATCGGAGCATACAGCACGACTACTGAAACCATTTGGAATAGGTGTGGCACACAAACCAACAGAATCACTTCAATCAATCCTATGTAGACCAAAGGACAAAATGACAAAGGAAGTAAAACCAAATATCATCTACAAAATAAATTGCTCAGACTGTGAAAAACACTACATAGGACAAAGTGGACGGCCTCTTCAGCTTCGTTTACGTGAACACCAAAAAGCAGTCAAACGCCACGACAACGCTTCGCTTATATCAATACACATTCAATTGGAAGAATGTGGAAATAGTGGGTAAGGGGAGGACAAAGAGCACTAGAAAATTTTTAGAAGCTTGGCACTCAGGTCAATCAGAAATCAACAAACACATCGACATTGACCCAATTTATCAACCAATCAGAAAAATCATAGGTGACACAGGATCAAGAAACAGATCAAAAGGGGAGTGCAATCAAAACAAAGTTGCAAACAACGACAGGTCAAAGGCCAACAGCAACCAATCAAGATCGAGGTTAGCAGAACAAGCCACAGGTCAAACGTGGAGAAATTCGAATGCTTCACTTCTATCTGAAGTTTGTGCTGGTGATGTTGTTCAGAAGAACAATAAAAGCTCCACAACCAAAAAAACCAGCTCAGAGAACGAAACACCACCACAATCATCCACCTGCGCTACAAGTTTTCTCCACCATCTCAGAAATCAACTATGTTATAAACTCTGAATATATATATATATATATATATATATATATATGCAAATATTTGAACGTACCGTCACAACATTCAAAGATGAAGTTTTCAATGAACCGCTAAGTGAAGTCAAAAATCGTACGGGAAACTTCAGTACAAACCCCATTTCTAAAGGATGAAGAGAAAAGTAAACGAAATATCCTACGATTATTAGAATTCGGAATTTCGATTAGTGACTAGATTGTTTAGTCACTTGCATGAGATGAGAGGATCATCACATGAATGTGACATATGTTATTCATTCAGTAGATATCACTTATACACCACTTTAATCCTTAAAAAAGTTGTCTGCTCCTCAACTGGAAAATCAGTCATATTACATTGAGGAATCCAGATAACATATTCAATCGATAATGTTTAAATAGCTTATTTTTTTCCCAGTTTGGTTGGTGTTCAGCTATTGCATCGTGTCAGTGTGACAGAATCCATGAGAAATTTTTTTATCGATAAAAACGTATTATTTTAGCATTCACTTGACAGATTGAGCATAACGAAGTCAATTCAAACAAATATCACAGCATTTCTTCCGACCAAAGGTAACAACAACAGTCAATTTTACGACAGTTTAAAATTCAAATAAAGGCAACATGACAGTTGGTATACATTTTTTCGTGTCTTATTCTCTGTCAAAACCAGTAGAAAACATAATCGAATCCAAACACATAAATAAATTGAAGTTCATTGCAATGACTCTGGCTGCAACAAAATATATACTTTTATTAATCTACTTCTGTAAAAATCATTATCTCCGTCAGTGAACGCTTACGTTCACCATTATTCATTCAGATACAATATCATTCATTTACAAATATAGAATTCATATGATAAGAATGAAATAATAAATTAAAAAATTTAACAACTACTTACAAATTACACAACTGTCAAAAATTTTGCTTGTTATCACAATTTATTATGATCTGTAATAGGCAAGAATGAAAAATATGAGTGGTGTGGTGTGGTGTGTTGTGGTATTTTAAGATTTTAACAAATTCACAAAAGCCAAATAATCAGATTGAAAACTAACGGATCAATATCCTATGAAACCATAGTTCGTTCACCTTAACAATGATTGGTTAGATGAACAGACAACCAGATACATATAATCAGACACATATATCAATCAGAAAAAACAATCACAAAACAAGCATCGAATGCCCAAAACACCAACAACAACAACAATCAGACTCACATTCATAAAAAAAAACCCAATCATTAAGGTGAACAAAAATGGTACTTAGGATTCAGATGCGCATAATCATCATATTATATATATATATATATATCAATAAATACAGGACGTACTTAAAAAACTTCTTTAAAATATCATACAGACAGAATTCCGTGCGAAGAATTGATTCTGGTTTAAAAAAAAAAAAAGAGAGTAAAAACGAAAAACAAATAAGCGAGTGGGAAAATAACTGGATGTTCATTGATTAATGCACAACATATTATTAAAATAATCAAGAAAGCCAAATTGGTAATCATTACACAGTAGGAAGATTTTGTGAAGATTAGAAATATTCAACTATATTTTTGTTATTGTCTACAGTATACCGATTGAATTTAAAACTAGACAAAACTATGAAAAGTTAACAATCTCTGTGGATTAGAAGTGATTCAGTAGATAAAAATGACTATGTAATTTAATTTATAACACTGATAAATCCGCATAACGGGGTTGTGAAGATTGTTAAGTTACACATTTTTGAAACAATATCGAAGGTCCTGGGTTCAAATCCTCCGAGGTGAAGGAGTCGTGGATGCGCACTGCTGAGGAGTCCCATACCAGGACGAAACGGACGTCCACTGCTTCCAGGTTTCTAATGGTGGTCTAACATTGATCGATCCATGGTTTCAAAAATCGATAAATTTAACATTTTATTTTAAATGATAGATAACCAGTTTGTCTTGTACAACAATAAAAATACTTATTTCATGATAAATTTAAATAAAGTGAGAGATGATACATGCTTTGCAGAATAATATGTATTCATTATATATATTTCAGTCAGTCAACAACAACATAGACCTTCGTACGAACGTACCTACATCAGTTTAAGTCGCCATACCATATATGCACAGAGATGTAATTGTCAATTCAAATCCCACAGTAGTAGAGAGAATAAAGGTATTAGCCGTAATCGGAGAGATTAGGGTTCGAAGATATTATTCGAGAAATAGAATCTAGTGAAAGAAAAAGATTAAGGTGATGAGGAATTCAGAAGGTTAGGATTTGCCATTGCAAACGATTTTGAGCCATGTCATTCAAGGTCTCTAATCACCGGTGACTTTCGTCTCGCGGACTCAAACCAGGTAGTCAACCCCTACCAACATGACTCAGTCCACTTGTTAGTGACCCCAATGGATTTGTGGCATGTTTTGGCTAGGCTGCCCGTAGATTTTTTTCAACCCATTTCTAAATCGCAAAACATAGCTCGTCGAAGCAGTCGATGGTTGAGCATACACAACACATGTCCCAACCACCTCAACTGATGAAGTTTCAACACTTTATCTATTGACCTGCCATCCTTACCTAGGACCTGTTTCCTAACAACATCATAGCTTACTCAGTTGTCCCACAGGATATACGCGCAATGCCTTGAAAACCAACAACCTACGAATATCTTCTACTCTAACTGGCTAGTATGTGTACCACCGAAGCGAGTACATTCATTATATTTGAAAGCATTTCATCAACTGCAAACGGCTTAAATCTTCCTTTGTAATATCATTATAAAATATTTGTATTACACAGCAGAACCAATGAAGTTTGTTTCGAAACGACAAGAAAAGAAAACAACATATTAAACATAATAGTTAATATTACTTAATATTTGTATGTTGAATATAAAATCATAGAAAAAAAACGGAAAGAGATATAGTTGTAAATGATAAAATAAAGAGACAATGAATAAAAACATATGACTGATAATCAAGAGTCAACTATTGAACATAAAATGTAAGTTAATAATATTTAGGTAGTCTGTAGTTGATGAGGAACCCTGAAATCTAATAAAAACACCTAATTGTTTATTTACTGGTACATTTAATTGTATGCTGTGACAAGTAGGATTTAGAATAACACCTAACCGATTATCTAATTTGAATAACGACCATAAACAAAGGGATTATTTGGTCAATAAGTTCTCATATTATATGCATATACTACATATACAATAGCTCTACGATTTATAGCCAATGATTCATACTCACACTAAAAACAAATAAGATTATTTACATGATTAGAAAATTTGTTAAGTACATCGTTAATTAGTGAACCACAACACAGCGATACTCAAATCACGAATGAATCATTGTTAGACTATCATTAGAAACCTGGAAGCACTGAAGAGCCGTTTAGTCCTGGTATGGCACTCAAAAACAGTGCATAACCACGAAACCTGTTACTCCCAGGACTAGGACCCAGGACCATCGATCTTGCGCTCGAACGCTTAACTTCTGAACCACTGAGCTTTCATCCAACGGTGTTAATGTCTAACTCTGACCAATCTAGAGAATTCACACAATCTCACTCATTAGCTTCATGAAGATATTCTCGGAGTTTTAATGAGAAGACATGATCATTGGAGTCCAACCTTGTCGAGTGTAGACAGTAACTACCGAAGACAATGAGCGGGGTTGCGCAAAATCCTTAGATTGGTCAGAGTTAGACATTAACGCAGTTAATCCTGCGAGTAGCAGAAGTCTTGGATGCGCAATTTTGATGAGTGCCATACCAGCATTAAATGACTATCCAGTGCTTTCAGGTTTCTAATGGTGGTGTGACAATGATTCATTCCTGATTTCAATGTAAAAAATAACGATCTCCATAATCCCACAATTCAAAAATATTGTTATTCAATCATTTTGATGTTTGAACCTTGAATCCGATTGTAGAAGGAACGAAATACTAGATTTAGTTTTAATTTTAAACGCCAAGTTATTTTTAACACATAGTTTGCTTTTCTTCTACTCTCTCTGAGCACTCCAACTACTAATGAAACTATTCAATAATCAAAATTTAAACAAATAGTTTCAATTCAATTCTATTTCTTATTTATTCTAAAACAAAAAAGGAAAATTCATCATGAACACACACATATTATTATCAATAATGTCTCAACAAACATAAGCTACGCAAGCACATACACACACACACACACACACACACCATAAACAGACATGAATTGGAATGTAAACACGAAAACACAAAAACAAAACATAAACATCCAGTATGTTAATAAATTCTATTTTCATTCATCAACAACTATATACTGAACTTGAAATAAACCAAAAAACCATACAATTGAATAATGAATGTATCAGTATTTTTTTTTAGTTAATATCTACTACTACTACCACAACTACATTGATTGAATAATATGGAGAGACGAAGGGGGTGGTCGGGGGACACGGCACGCTGATCATCATCAGATACTCTGAACACATTGATAATAAATGAGCATGTAGAATGAATTTTCGTTTAATTCCTTTGTAAGTAATAAAAATAAAAACCTAGTATTCGAATGCAAACACACGCACACAAGAACATACATAGTTATGACGGCATGACAACAACAACAACAACAACGGTTGTTGCATATACAAAAGGAAGAAAATCAATAAAAAGGCGGAGAAGATAAACGTCTACACATTAACATCAACATTCAAATGAATGATGTGAGGAAGTAGGAGAGAGAGAGAGAGCGACAGAAACAAATGGAGGTAAAAAAAAAAGGGAACACGTAAACTACAATAGTGGAAAATGTGATATATCAACTCTGAATGTACATAATAAATAACTACTACTAAATAGATAGTAAGTAGAGACAATAATTGAGATGATTTATGTTTATTTTGAAGAAAAAAAATGTAAATAATTTACTCGCACATCAATATTAGTAATAATAATAATAACAATAGAGTGGCACAATGCTGTAATACATGTAATTCCAATGAAGACGAGGAAAAATGAAGAGTAAACAAAAAATGTGTTACACACATCTTTACAAATATATTGAAACTAAACATGATTCATTTACAATTTGAAAGAAAAAAAATGAAAAAACTTTTATCATGATATCAAGTATACAAAAAAAAACAAAAAAAAAAATGAAAGAATCAGTGAAACTAGGTGAAAATGAATGAGAAAATATGAAAATAAAATCTATACACATTTCACAATTGGAAATGTTGGTTGGGTCAGAGTCTGCGCTCACGCACACACACATACTTCCAGGCTCTAGGTTGCTTCTGTATGTCTGTCTGTATATCTACTAACTGTCTATCTATCTATCTATCAATTTATCCATCTGAAAAATAGAGTGACGAGAAACATTCTCTTCGTTTGTTCACAGCAGAAGATTAAATCATGTATGTAGCAAAATTAATTGAATCACTAAGTAAAATCCATATATTATTAAAATGTTTCACCGACACTATAACCACTGACTCTACTATTTAAACTTTGTCGACTACCATGAAAACTGAAATGTTCAAAATATGGTCCATCGACAATTTGATTCGCATTGCCATCGTCATCATTTGGAGGAGTCAAATCAACTGATGTATCTTTGAATTCATCTGGAACATATTTTGTATCTTTCTCATCGATCACATCTGGTTTCCATGGTGGTTGAATATCTCTGAAAAATTAAAACAAGTAAACAGATAGATAGCCTAGATAGAGATTATAGATATATATGTTAGTAATTAGAGATTAAAATTCACGCGAATTATATTTGTTACTGAATGAAATACGTACAACTCATTTGTAATGGTTATCTGAATCATCTCACTAGGACTGCAATCGATCAGTCTCTTTTCATAAATATGAATTCTGAGTAGACTTCCGTGATTGTGACATTCAGTCACAAGTATTTTAAGCGAATACGGAACATGCACAGTTGTAATTGACCAGTGTATTATAATCCCTGACATTACTAGGATATATTCATGAATAACTAACCCTTGAAACTTTATACACAACTAACTAGAGTTAAGAGTTGTTTCTAATCTCAACTAACTTAAAAGTAGAGCACCGTTCAATATTACTAAAGTTATATTTGTTTAATGTTAAATAGACTAATGCGATATTGAAAATTGATCTGAAAAACCTTACTCACGAATTTGAGTAAACATTGAGAATAGAGAGATTAAATTCCAAAAAAAGTTACACATATAAAAATAATTGTATAAATAATAGTATTATTGATTTTTCTATAATACAGTAACTCAGATAGCTGCTTATTATACTTGATTTCCAATTGGTAAAAAGATACAACATTTAAGAAAAAGGATTAGATCATGGAAAATAAGTGAATGTAAATATATGCGTTATATATACATCAATCTAAAAATGGTTATTATAACCTGACAGTCAGTCAGATGCAACGTAGAACTTCGTACGTAAGTACATCAGTTCATGTCGCCATACCACATCAGCACAGAGATATAATTGTCAATTCAAATCCAATAGTAGAAGAGGTAGTAAAGGTATTAGAAGTAATCGGAGAGGTTACGATTAGAAGATATTATTCAAAAAGTATGATTAAATGAGAAAAGTTTAGAAAGTCAAAACTAGAGGGGTTGAAGAATCCAGAAGATTAGCATTTGAAAGAACACAAAGAATAAATGCACCGACGCCATTGCGAACGATTTTGAGACATGTTACTCAAGGTCTCTAACCATCGATTATTATCATCTCGCGGACCCCAACCAGGCAGTCGACAACTACCGACATGGCTCAGTCCACTCGTCAATGACTTCATAGATTTCTGCCATGTTTTGGTCTGGCCGCCCCTAACTTTCTTCCAACCCATTCCTACACTACAAAACAAAGCTCGTCGAGGCAGTCGGTGGTTAGGCATACGCAAGACATGTCCCAACCACCCCAACTGATGAAGTTTCACCACTTCAACTATTGATCTGCCATCCTTACCTAGCACCCGATTCCTAATAACAGCGTTGCTCACTCGGGTGTCCCACGATATACGAGCAATGCTTCGAAGACACCTATGATCGAAAACCAGTAACCTACGAATATCTTCTACTCTCACTGGCCATGTTTCACAGCCATATAGGAGAACGGAGCGAACTGCTGCACAGTACACTCGTCCTTTGATTAGAGAACGGATATCACGCCTACGCCATAAGTGACGCAGGTTGGCAAAAGCCAATCGAGCCTTCTGTATCCGAGCTGAGATTTCGTCAGTCACCAGGCTTTCGGCACAGATGAGACTCCCAAGATAAGTGAAGCGGTCTACACGTTCGACTACTTCACTCCCTATCACTAGTTCAGGTGCCGATGCAACCCAGTCTTGAAGCAACATTTTGCATTTCGAGGGGGGAAACCGCATCCCGAACATGCTTGCATTGTTGCTTAGGGTAATCAGAAGACTCTGAATTTTTTCAGCGTCTTCACCAAGTAGGACAATGTCATCGGCATATTCTAAGTCAATAAGCGAGCCACCTGGTAGAAGGTCTACTCCTGAAAATTCAGACGAGGATAATGTTATGTCTAGGAGCATGTCTATGATAAAAGTAAACAAAAATGGAGAAAGTGGACATCCCTGACGGACACCACTTGATGTAGAGAATTGCGGTGACAGTTCGCCATAAGCCCTCACTCGACCAGTGGTGTTCGAGTAAAGAGCATGTATAAAGTTAATGTACTTCTTTGGTACACCTTTCAATGACAGATACTGCCATAGAACCTTACGATCAACAGAGTCAAATGCCGCCTTAAGGTCTAGGAAAACAACTATTGTAGGACGCCTAAATGTGTGTCTGTGTTCCGGGACCTGTCGTAGTGTGAAGACGTGGTCTATACAGCCACGTCCAGGTCGAAAACCAGCCTGGTTTTCTCGAGTTTGCTCTTCACGAGCTTTCGTTAAGCGTCGAAGTATTATTGAGGCCAATATTTTAGATACTATATTAGTTAGACTTATTCCCCTGTGATTGTCACAAGAAGACTTTTGTCCTTTCTTATAGATTGGGACAATAAGTGATTGAGACCAGTCGGATGGGATTACGTCCAGTTCCCAGATTCTACCTAAGATCTCAGTCAACCTAGCTGCTAAAACTGGACCACCTTCCTTAAATATCTCAGATGTCAGTCTATCAGGACCTGCAGCTCGTCCTCGTTGCAGATTTCCTAACGCTTTCTCAACGTCATTAAGACTAGGGGGACTTAGGTCGATTTGCCATTCAGGATGACTGGAGATCGTGGGTAACCGAAGAGTGGCTCGTGGCCAGTTGAACTGATCCCTAAAGTGTTCTGCCCATCGATCCAGTCTCCTGGATTGAGAATGGATAATAAGACCATCCTTTTCCGAGATAGTCTCACTCACATTCGAGTTCTTAATACCAGTTTCCTTGATAAGTCGGAAAAGTTGTCTACTGTTGCCTATCGCCGCTGCCTTTTCCATCGCTTTTGCTTTCGCCACCCACCACTGTTCGCGGTCGTTACGCAGACTTTTTATAAGTCTACGCCTAAGCTGACTACGCTCTTCATCATGCTCAGAGTCAGGTGGGATGCGTTTTCGAACATCCATCAGTTCGGTGGATGCGACTGAAATCCACGGCTTCATCCTAGCCCCATGGTTTACCTTCCTGGCAGATATCACTGCTGTTTCCACAGCCTTTTTGATATCATACCAACCTGCTTCTGGATGGGAATCACTTACATCGTTGCTTAACTCTCTTTCTAGTTCCTGCTGAAATATTTTCTTGGTTTGATTATCATTAAGTGAAACCCTAAGAGGCTTTCTTACGGTGTCTTTCCTACGTCCAGTAAGCCTTAAACAGATACGAGCTCGCACTAGAGCATGATCTGAATCCAAACATGTGCCCCAGAACGAGCGACAGTCTTCTATCGAACCCCTCCATCGGTGATCTAGTTGAGTCCAACGTTGAGACGACTTCGGGGGTCGCCAGGTCAACAGATGCTTTTCCTTATGCCTAAAGTTGGTGTTCGCTAAGAATAGGCGGTTATCTGAGCATAGCTGCAACAGACGGTCGCCATTGTCTGTTCTCTCAGTCGCTACACCATAACATCCACCTAGATGTCTTTCCTTTTCACCTAGTCTACCTACTTGAGCATTAAAGTCACCAGCCATTATTACTATATCAGAGCGCCTAGCTTTTTGGAGGAGGTCCGACAGATCAAAATGTTCCAATAAAACACACTAAAATTCAGTGTGAGTATGTCTCTACCAAGTCAGTTAGTTTCAACGTAAAACTTGGCACAACAGTTTAAGTTGTCATACTCTATTTGCATACAGAGATGGAATTGTTAAGTTGAATCCTGGAGTAGTAATCATATTAATGGTAATAGAAAAGGTTAGGGATTGAAGATAAAACTCAGTCAAATGCAAACAAATGTATTGTATCCTTTTAATATTAAGTAATTGCAATAGTCTGGCCAGTGTATATGAATAAAACTATTTTAGAATAAATTGAATTATCAAACAACTCTACTAAAAGTAGTATTGTTTGTTGAAAAATCATTCACTAATGGTATTATTATTATGTGTTTTATACTATATGTTGCATGAGTTGATGTCTTTAGATTTGAAAATAATTTCAATGGTGTACTTAAGTATGTTCGTTATTTCCACAATAGAAATAGAATAGGTTTATTATTCTATTCAAAAATTATTAGTTGTTGCTTTTTTTCACCTTATTTTCATAGTTGTATTGAAAAACAGTGAAGCCATTACATTGTTATAATAAATTTTCAGTTGATTAATTTAAACAGTCAAGGTAATGTTGAATATATTGAAAATGAGAAACTAGACAAAAAAAGGATTACTATTGATTAAAAAAACATACTTTCTTATTAAACGATCCCAATCAACGGAAGCAAAAAATAAATGTGCCATAACTTCTAAAACATCTTGTATACCACCACCTAGTCGACTTGTTGGATCTTTAATTAAAAGTCTAGACAAGATATCTTGAGCTGGCTGTGAAAGACGAGTTGGAAAGGAGACATTTTCCTTAAAGTATTAAAAATGAAAAAGAAAAATAGACACAGTTGTAATGATCTGACTATAACTGGAGATATATTCACACAAACATTAAGATTATTTTTAATAACCTGATTCATAAAAACCACATAGAATAGTACATAATGACAACTGTTAAATGTTTGATATAGTAAGGTATTCAACAGAAACAACACAGTTAGTATCAACTCTTAATCTCTCCACTTGCAATTGTCATAATCAATGTAAAAGTTCTGACAAATTCTAGGTGCCCATATGAACATGGTAATTTTCTTTAAGGGATCACCACCTTACACATTTTGTCGACAGGGCAGTGAGGAGACGCTACGAGATATAAGGCTACTGTAGCCGGTTGCCAAAAATAGGCTCCCACAGCATTGGATGCATCAGAACCTTGAGGCTGGTAGCAAAAATTTGTAAATGTTCCGAGTGAACCTTTTGTATCAGTCAGGTATGTTTAACTACCGAATAACCATTTCCCTCCTCCCTCCTATCTCTCTAACACGAAGTACAACTCTTCATGCAAGAGGCTAAAAATGCACGATTTTGAGATTATTCCAAGAGGGAAGAGAGTATTTCCACTCTTGGTATAAGAAGACACAAAAAGCTCAATTGTTGTAATACAATTCACCTCTCAGTGAAATGTCTATAGATAAACCAGATGTCTTCAAAAGAGCGCAATACTGCGCGTAGTTCATCGTGCAGTAAATAAAATTTGGATGATGAAAGATTGAAAGTATGTTTATCATCAATAAAATACTAAGATGCAATTTATAAGAACTCCCGTCTAAGTTTGAACGAATAATTTCACAGAGGCTGCGCGCCGACTTACAAACATAATTTTCCCTCTTTAATCATCATGTAAGCTTAAAAAATGTTTCTAACTTTACAATCTAGCAGGGTTACACAATTTTTTTGGTGAGTCTGAGTTCCGATTGAGATGGAAAAAAACTATACCAAATTTTCAATAAAATGGATAGATATACAGTTGACTGACGATCAAACACCTAATATAGAGCTATTTGCTTTCATTTTTGTAAGACACTAAAGTTATGAAACGGCGTACTTTAGTAACTAAGAAGAATACGGAAGTTTGGTATATTTTTGAACAACAACGACAGTAAAGCAATAGTGAATTGAAGTGTAAAATGCTTACTTGCAGGATTAATTCAAATAAAACTTCATGATCACTTGAATAGAATGGCAAACGTCCACACATCATTTCATACATTACTACCCCAAGGCCCCACCAATCAACTGAACGCCCATAATCATTATCTAAAAGAACTTCAGGTGCTAAATATTCCGGTGTACCACAAAATGTCTTAGTTGATGCACCATAATACATATCTTCTTTACATAGACCAAAATCAGCAATTTTTATGTGACCATCTTTATCCAACAATAAATTTTCTAATTTAAGATCCCTGTCAAATTAATAAATGAATAAAAACATTTAATAAATATTGTATCAGTTATTCATTCATGAGTTACGTATGCCTAACCACCGACTGCCTCGAAGAGCTTTGTTTTGTGGTGTAGGAGGAGTAGGTTGCAAGAAAGCTAGGGGTGGCCAAACCAAAACATGGCAGAAATCCATGCAGTCACTAACAAGTGGACTGAGTCATGTTGGTAGATGTAGGCTACCTGGTTAGGGTCCGCGAGACGAAAGTCACCGATGGTTAGAAACCTTGAACGATATGGCTCAAAATTGTTTGCAATGGTGCAGGTTCATCCATTCTTTGTGTTCTTTGAAATTCTAATCTTCTGAATTCCTCATCACTTTTATCTTTCTCTTTTCAAGTTTATTTCACTAGATTCTACTTCTTGAATAATATATTCGAACCCTAATCTTCTCCATTACCAATAATACTTCTACTATCTCTACCACTATGGGATTTGAACTGACACTAGCGTCTCTGTTTTAATGCGGCATGTCATCCTGAACTGATGTACTTACGTACAAAGTTCTAAGTCGCAAATGACTGACTGACTCATTTAGAAACAACATTTTCAAATACGCGTAAAAACGACAATCTACTATAAGAACTGATAAAACTTCTAAAAGTAAATAAAACAGTCAATACATTGGACTATTTCACGATAAATTATCCAATCAAGCAATCATGAAGTGTCTTGAAAGAAAAAAAATCTCATATTTGTAAAAGGAAAAAAGCGTTTTAACCAGACGGTATCCAAACCAGACTAATCCCTGAACAATCCATATCAAGAGTTAATCTTATTGCTCTCTCCAACTTACCAGGCTCATGTAACAGGATGTAGTTGAAGAACAAGCATTTCAGTCAATATATCTCGATCGTTTGGTCACAATACATAAGCTTTAACTAAGTGTCCATGTAACAGCAAGAGTCAAGAAGGGATAATATCCCCCAAGTAATACTTAATAACAAAATTACATATAAAGAGAAAGTCAGTCAGTCAGTCAGTCAGTTGCAACGTAGAACTTCGTACGTATGTACATAAGTTCAGGTTGCCATACCACATTAGCACAGAGACGCAATTGTCAAATCAAATCCCATAGTGATAGAGATAGTATGGGATTTGATTTGAGAAAGAGAAACGATATTCACAGTTATAACAATAATTATTATTATTATAAATATTATCTAGAAAAAAAAAATAAAACTAATTCATAAAACCTTTTTCTTTCATACCTATAAACTACATTCTGATGATGTAAATAACCTAAAGCCAAGGTAATTTCAGCACCATAAAATTTAGCTCTTTCTTCTGAGAATACACGATCACGTTGTAAATGGAAAAATAATTCACCACCATTAACATATTCCATAACAAAACATAAATAATTCGGTGTAGTAAATGAATAACGCAACTCCGTCATAAATGGATGTTTGCATTGTTGTAAAACACGATTTTCAGTCATTGTATGAACAACTTCATCTTTCTGTTATTTATTAAGATAGAAGAAAAAACATTATATAGAAATAATGAAAATTACACAACAATCATAGACAGTAATCATTATTAGTTGTGTGTTTTTTTTAAAAAAAAAAACAAAAGTAACTGCTGTTACAACATCAAAATAGTTTATCAGACATTTAACAGATTTAATAATCAAGATAATGTTCGATTAGTTATGCAAAGTAATTTGGTTTATGATTTTAGAGAAGCATGAAAAACAAGTTTAATTTTAATGCAACTTATTATCTAGGGTATACATTTGTATGCTCAGTGAAACTATCTAGTTGTCTAAACTGTAATAAATGGAGACTGTGTAAGTCAATGGTTCAGAAATTCATAAGATATTAAAACAAATACTACCCAATGTTAGGTTAGCTGTTTCAAAGCAATCAACGAAAATCTTGAACTGGCCTATCTGAAACTCAGATGAAAATAATAGTCGTCTTACAGAACCACACATACACATTGCCGAATAATACTACTACTGTAACACAACTGAAAAGCACTCATTATTTCAAAAAGAAAAATGAAAGCAAATTGATACAACTGAGAATCATTAAACTAATGGTTATTACAAATCATAGCTGGCTATCTTCCAGGACTATAAACCAATATAAACCTATAGCTCATCGATTACGATACTTAACTTAGGATGAATGGGTCACAGGCGTGAAAACAGATGAACAGCATTATTAAAGCTCATACGATATTTATAATTTACAGGATACTGTAAAAACCGAAGTTAAATTTCATTTAACTCTATACATAATTGTTCCTACTAATAACAAAATCCGAAATCAAAACCTTTAAAAAGCATTTCGGTCAATATTTGTATGCACGGAACCTGCAGTTGCACATAACTAATAGTGCAACCTTAGCAGTGGATACTAATGAATTAATCCATAATTCTCAAATTATTCACACGTCTTTCGACCTGGTCAATTATACGTTCATAACCTTGGTTGTTTTTCCTCAAGTACGTGTGAGCATTGCTTACATCGCTTATCACACGTCTAGCTTATTTCTGTCTTATTATAATTATTTAGTCATGCCTCATCACGTTGAGTTGGTTCATTTGTCTTCGCCAGTTTGCTTCGCTTCGCTTTTCCGTTTTTTATCCTCATTTGTCTGCGTGGACAATTACATGGACTAAACTCATCCAACTAAATCCGTACTTGGCTTCTTATTTACCACCGTCACACAAACGGGGTTCGCCTAAGAATCTGATATGAGGAAATTGAAGGGATTTATTTCATAGAATATTCAACCGTTCGTCCAAACTGGAGTTAGATTTTTTTACATGGAAATAGATGTGGATGATATGTATCTTTTTTTTGTTTCAAGGAAGTACATATCAATTTACTATGAAAGGTCTGGTGAGAGTATAAAGACTGACAAAACTAGAACTAATGATTATAACTACAAGACTTACTTCAATAAGTACAGATTTCTTTAGTATTTTCATAGCATAAAAATGACCTGTTTCATTCTCTTGACATAAAATTACTTTTCCAAAAGTACCTTTTCCCAAAACTTTTAGAAGTCTGAAGTCATTTACAGAATAACGTTTAAAAGGCCTATAATATGGAAAAATAATTGAAATATACAAAAAAATAGAAATTAATTTAGATAGGAAGCAAGTAATGGTATTTTGAATATTTGTGGATGGTTGTGGTTATGCAGAATTGTAAACAGAGATGGAATTACAATGATTAGCAATAATAATAATAATAATAAAAGTATACGAAAGTATACACAGTTATTCAGGAAAATAAAAGTAATGAGTACCGGAAACTAAGTCGAATCAATAGTTATCATTTCAACGAGCGACCGTATAAGCATAGTTCATTTGTACATCATAGATTAAGCTAAATTAGTAAAATGATTATTTGAAATCTAGACTTAAGGGTTAGACAGATTTCTTATTAAAATTTATCAAACGCCAACTAGAGGTCATCATCATCATATGCTTTGTGTTCGTCTGAGAATGCACACAATTTTCGATGTTATTACATTAACCAGACATGGAATAAAATGTTTTATGTAATGTGAGCATTATACTAACTAGTAGATAAAAACAGACTATAAATGTCATTTTACGTGATAAATACATACATAGTTGAGATTGGCAATGACAATTAACTTGGAACACATTATCTAAAATCTCTAGCTGTTACATAAAAATCAAACGACAATCCAACAGTACTTGATACAAATTCAGTTAAATAATTAATGGCAATAAATTGCTCAGTTCTCCTAATATATGTTTGATCTGTTTTTATTGCTACCTTTGATTTAACATCCGGATCGATCCAGTAACAACAAACATTACGGGTTTCAGCCATCTAAAAATATGTCATTGGAATTCGAACAATGTTTTAATGCACAAAATAACCACACCTGCATGACTGTGTGCATACGACACATTTTCAACTACGATTTTATTCCTAATCTGCACAAGGTAAAAATAGTTTGCAAATACAGGAAAATATGCTTGGTTGGTTACATACTCTGAAAGTTAATTTACCCTAATAACTAGAACAGATAAAGTCCTAACCAAATTATACGTCTTATCAACTACGATTGCAGTTAATAAACACATCATCATCATCATTATCAACAGCAACATAGAACTTTGCACGTAAGTACAGCAGTTCAAGTTGTCATACCACATTAGCACAGAGATATAATTGTCCATTCAAATCCCATAGTAGTAGAGGTAGTAAAAGTATTAGAAGTAATCGGAGAGATTAGGGTTCGAAGATGTTATTCAAGAAGTACAATTCAGTGACGTACATTTAGGAAGAGAAAAATAGGGGTGATGAGAAATTCAGGTTAGGATTTCATAGAACACAAAGAGTAAATGCACCTGCGCATGGCAAACGGTTTTGAGCCACGTCACTCTCTAACCATCGATTATTATCATCTTGCGGACCCCAACCAGGTAGTCGACACCTACCGATATGACTCAGTCCATTTGTCAGTGACTTCATGGATTTGTGCCATGTTTTGGTCTGGCAGCCCCTAGCTTTCGTCCAAGCTATTCCTATATCGCAAAACAGCTCGACGAGGCAGTCACAACAATGTACGAATATATATAATCGAAAACAAACATAATGAAAATGATAATTACAAACACAATTATAAACACAAACATGTAATAACCCAAGATCTTTTTAATCTAATGATAAACTCACCTCTGAGGGATGTCAACGATCATATTTTCAGTCAAATTTAAATTATGTACGGATACTGGTTGTTCATAGGATGATTTGAGTCGATTTGCGACACTTTGAATTGCGCCAAGCCAACAATTTCTTTCTGCTTCCGTTTCGACAAAAAATAAACGTTCCACTACATTGGTCCATTGTAAACCACGAATAAGAAATGTGTACGGTTTTGGCTTGTTTAAACAGATAATTTGACAGTCACGAACAGTAAAATTATTTAGAGGTTGTGCCATATCATCCTAAAACCAACACAAACATTTACAAACTAAGTATTTTAGTAAATTATATTTACTAAAGACTTAATATATATTGAAAACATAATAAATAGCCATAATACATTGAACTAATTATCACTTAACGGACAATTCTAATGTATTATGATAGTTGATGAGGAAAGTGTGACTCTCAGGGACTGAATACTGTATCAAACAATGAAGACTTTTCGAAACAATTTAGTTTAGTATATGATGGTCTTTTATTTCGTACAAAATAAAAAACAAAACAATAATTTTAAACAGAGACAACCTTTAAAACACCATATAGCCAAAATTTTAAATGTAAAAAATAAAAATATTAAATGTCTTATTGTAATTTATACGATGATACATTACTCTTTACAATATGTATAATCAGTTATGCCTAACTGTTACACGTTGTCTGTGGTTCGTTCTTTCAATCATCGTGATATTAAGATCCTATTTTACAAAACAAAGTTGACTCTATGAAATGAACTTGATGAAGAGCTGAGACTATAGATAAGATGATAAGTTGAAAGTCAATGCAATGTAAAGTAATAACTTTACCAGGTACGGGCGACTCATTTTACACATATGAATAATGTTTGAGGTTGTATATAGTTGGTGGAAAAAAAACAGGGACACTTAATCATATCATGAAAATACAAAAATATCTTTAAAAAAATTTTAAACAAACTTTAGGTTGAATTTTATATCCATAAAATGTCCCATCTTCCCGTAACTTGAAATACCGACGTCGCCAATTTTTAATATGTTCGCCACGTTTCATGAGCCATCCCTCCATTACAACGTTTCGAGTAAGAGGCAAAGAGACTGGTCTACACTGGAGCATACCGAGGAGGTATGGTGATATGCGCGGGACCAAATAGTCAGAGCAACTTTCTGCCAGTCCACTTTTAAATAAAACATTCTGATCAGAGGGCACAGGAAGATGGGTATTTTGAAGACTATTAAAGAAGTTTGAACTGGTGCCATTGTTGATATTTCGTCTCTGAGAAGTGGTATCTTGAATTTTGGCAGATGCTGAACCTGGTTCATGTTCCATGTGACTGTTTTTACTGTTTTTTGAAGAACCGACCACTGGATTTTGGGAGTAATTGCACAAAATCTCCATTACCCAGAAATTCTGCAATCCCTTAGAAAACAAATAACAATGGATTAAAACTTGTCACACTTCAGTGAAAATTTATTACTGACAAAGACATCAGCGTTTCTGAAACTTAATATTGTTCAGATAATCTAATGCAAATCGTATTAATTCGTTAGAATCTCTAAACAATAATATTAATAAGCAAACACATGGCGATGTATCAGTTAAATATTGGACGAAAAGTCCTCCAAAGCTGATGGCTGGGTTAACCATAAAGATTTTTCTAGTTAAACATGTGCAAACTGCACAAAGAGGAAATTTTCAAGCGGTTAAATATAACCTAACTTGAGATTTGACGGATATTAAAATGCACATACAAAAAGACTTTTGCGATGTATATTTAGCCTGAGGATCTTTTAACTGTTTTATGAGTAACTACTAGTTGAAAAATACAGATTATATGATGCGCGTAACATCATGATCACCCTAATTAGTATAGTTATGCTATAGACTCGATTACCTTGTAAACTATCTGTCCACATATTTAGACTTCGAATAAACATTGACACTATCTCGAATGTATTAACAATCTGTAGCATAATGTTCAACTTAAAGGTTTTAACATGGTGAGATACATACTCAGCTTTTAACAGATGTTTATACACTTTACAACACTGGGAAGATAGGGTGAAACGCCACCTAAATGCACTAGATAAATTCCGAACAAAACCAAACAAACCAGCATACCAATGAAATATTGATATGGAAGATAAAAATTAACAGAAAATCATGCAACTTCTCTTCCCAACCCTTTGTAACCCCATAGTCACAAACTAATTTACCGAAATACTGTGACGATGTTAGAGACTAACCTCAAAAACAAAGAGTAACCGACTGGCCCAGCCTAAAATAATAGAGAAATTTCCTGTTTTCGGCTATGCGCATATCAAACGGAGTACCGATATATTCATTCTTGTATAAAATATCCCATCATGTTCTGGTGTCGGTAGTCAAATCAAATTCAATGCATTTAGCGCTCTGGGTTTGGCGCCTCCAAGTTTTACTAGGCCGTTGTGTTTTAGATTGTTCAAATGGTTTGAAATGGTTGTAAAGGAGACAGAAGAAGCTTTCGTATGACGGGATTTTGTATCAAATAGCAATGAACCAATATACAATATCTTTTTCACGAGCTAGTACCAACTAATTGATTTCTTTGAGCTCAACTCCTGTACTTTCGGTACGGTTCCAGGTGTTCGGTAGTGTTCAAAGAAAGGAGGTATAGCCACTCAGCTGTCTAATTCTAGTCGATTGGCAGTTGTGCGTGAGTTTGTATGCTCAGCGCTTTGAATGAATACGTTTGTTTCACGGCAGTAGGGTTTCTGGATACCAGCAGCAATCGCATTACGAGGCCAAAGATCACTTAGTTGCAATATGGAGAATAATAAGGATAAACTTCTAATACTAATGAAAAGATTTCAAAAATCATCAAATAAATTGATAATTTAGTTGAATAATTGGTAGTTAAAATTGTGCGAGAGGAGTGCAATGTAAGCAAGGGAGAGGAAACAGTGACAGTAAGTTAGTGATCTGAGGATATAGCAATCATAACGACCACCAAGTCCCAAGGCATGCACCAGTTACAGCTTGTCCATGATGGAGATGATAATCGGTATGTGAGTACATGTTTATCAAGTCTCTTCTTAAAACTGTCCATCGAGAGTGTCGTGGTCACCTCGGCTGGCAGAGCATTCCAATTTGCAAGGACTCTGAATGAGAAAAAGAGTACACAAACCTGAGTATTCGCTCTTCGACGCACAACTTTTAGAGGATTGCCTTGAGTGGAGTGGTGACGATGCATTGGTAAATTGCTCACTATTGGATGGTTTGGCGTGCTTAATATGTTGTACTCCTTAATAAATTACCTCTGATTCTCCTGTATTTTATGGAAAATAATCCCAAATGCTAGAGTCTGTCTTCGTAAGTTTTATTTTTCAACCCTATCACATTTTATAGCTCGTCTCTGCACTCGATCCAAGAGTTTAATGTCTCTTTTCAGGAGAGGGGGTGCGACAACGATGTGAATCAATACCTCAGGTAAGAACTCAGGCTTATTCAACCAGTAATAGAGAAGTGTTATTAATTTTAATGAAATAATGTCGAGTGCTTAGGATTGTGTCAGCCTGAGAAGTCACTTGAACCAATTCATCCGTTAGCCAATTACAGGATCCGAATACTGGTAAAGAGGCATGAGTAATGTTGTGCCTCCAACTTCTGAGTATTGTTCCCAAGTTAGTATTCGAACTGAGCTTAATTAAGTAATTTAGAAGCTACCAAAGAGTGTTTAGAAGCTACAGTTCTGCGACTCCCATACTCTAGTGGGTAAAGCACAAGTTATTTCAATCGCTCTTTAAATGGTTTCAGTTCGAGCCCTTTAAGTGATTTATCGGCTAGCCTTTGAATAGTTTCCATGTGTTTCTGTCCTTTAGAATAAAAGTAGGAGACACTATACTTCCTGCTAAAATGCGCTTTCATGTTACAAACATAGTTTCCTCACAGCTGGCGTAGGACTTCAGGTCAGATGGTACTACGGCTCCAAGATCTCTTTTGATTTGGAGCGATTCCAGAAGATGGTTACCACGAGTATGTGCGTAGTCCGCAGTAAGGTTCAGATGGTGGAGGAAATTTGTAGCTCAGGTGGACGATTGTAGTGGATGTTCACGTTGTGGAGCTTTTATTGTTTATCTGAACAATGTCATCATCGCAAACCTCAAATAGAAGTGAAGTATTCGAACTTCTCCACTCTCGACCCTAGCTTTTCTTTAAACTCGATCTCGATTGGCTGCTGTTAACCTGAAAACTGTCATCTCGGTTTCGAATTCCTCTCCTTAGTTTAAAATCGTCAGTGAAAAGTAATAACTTGGACGGTACTTATTGATAAAGGTCATTTATACGAATTAAAAAGGGAAATGGCTCCACTAATGAACCCTGAGATACTCAACTAGGAGATTCAGTAGTCTGAGAAAACCTATTTTCATAATAATGGTAATAGCAGTTTATTCTCAAATAACAATGCATTGCATGGGGCATGCCAGTTTACAGGCAGGATCAGAATGTTAGCGACGCAAACACATTTACTATAAAAGGTTGTTCAGTTAGATAAATATTTTTAAAGTAACACCGGCTTTTCACAGAAGGCTAATATTTTTCACATAATTTTTTAAATTTCCTAGACTTTCAGATATTCAATGCAATATCTGACACCAGTCATGTCGTCTGTACTGCTTGGAAGTACCGTCGGTCGAGAATCAATGTAGGGTATATCCAAGGCTGTATATAACCAGAATTTATTAGGCGAGTTTATGTTGATCTGTAGTGAAGGAGAACACAGGTGAGGGCAACCGAATTGTATTTAACGAAAATTACAGAGTTACTCAGTAAAATAGGAAAACCATATCGTAAATCGTTAATCTGCAAAATATCAGTCCATCATCTAGAACTGGACTGTTCCTGTTGCATAACATCAATCGATTGTCACTATTCATGCGTTTCATACAAATTCCATTGTGTTCCAACTCTTCCTTTCTTGATCTTCCCCCATCTTCTGGTGCCAGACATTACGTTGACACTCACGTCATTTACTACTTATAAGTAGCGCGCACCACAGATCTTCTTGATGACATTCGGCAAACAATAATTTGACAGGCTCCTGGGTAAGGCAACTATGAGTCTACGAGAATATCTAGGTTATAATTTGGGTGTAGTATGAGTTTCTGAAAAAGCGAAAGAAAGAAAAATGGGTGAGGAGCAGAACAGAAAATATATTTTCGCTTAAAGCTGTCGTTACTCAAAAGATACTTTACTGTATGAAATGAAAGGTGCGATTACTTGGCATAGTCTTTTACTGCATTACATTATTTACTGCTCAGCTGCATCTATGTCGGTTAATTAGGACAAGCCACTAATAAGAAGACGAATGGTCAAACGACTGCATAAACAAAGAAGATTCAAAAGAAACGAACTGTTAAGTGTTCTGTACATCTGCAAAAGATTATAAGGAGGACAGTGACTTACTGCACGATTGATATTCGGTTTGTTATTTTTTATCACCATTGCTTAAGAAGTTACGAGTGAACACATTTTAGCCTGACTTCCCAGATCAGCTTGAGATGAGACTTATTAGTCGGAATAGAAACCATTTCAAGATTACATACATGAGTACTAGACGTAGTTGAATTGGTAAGGTAACGTCAATATCACTGATTGTTAGGGTTTTTGAGTGGCTTCTGAATTGGGAATGACAGTTTTAGAAATTTAGATACGCGCCTTTCCCAGTATCCCAACAAGAAAACAATTTATCTGGGTAAGAAACGGTTCTATTATTATTTAAATTTTATAATTCATTACCTGAACAATAATACACTGTTCTTTAACACAATATGTTTCCAGTTCTGGAAGAATGCTTCCGTTTAGATGCAAAATTGCACCTTTCCAGTTCAGATTCCAGTTTCACATGCCTGGGTAGCGATATGGCTGACGCCATAAGTAAGTGTCAGTTTAATCAATATAATACAGTTCAGTAGAAAACATAGAAACTCCAAGAAGGCTAAAAAATCGAAACTATAACAAAATACAAATATTAACGTCAAAAAATGGGATTAAACCGAGTACCAAAATGGAGTACAGAAAGAGTCAGTAAGAACATATTACTATTATGTACATGAAGGGATTTTCCCAAAACAAAGCCTTCAAAATGGATTCTACACTGATTAGTTACATCCTGCCATATCGAAAGGAGCCTTAAACATATATAAAATACCTTACCCTACACTTATGGGTGGATTGAGGTAATCGCCGTACCATTATGATTTCTGGTCAGATACACCATCCTCCCTATTTTTGTGACGTTGCGCTCTCGTACGTTTGGGGTATGTTTTGATAAATGTTTTAGTCTATGCTCTATTTTACGCACACCTAGTCGGAAAGCGATCTCTCTACAACGTCTCTCTCCTTCCAAACCGGACAGTTTTAGCTTCTGTATAGTGGATATCACACGGACATTAAATTAATTAATGGTATAAATTGTAAAATATAGGTAAGTTATTAAGTAGTTTGGAGATAGGAAAGATGGACATTGACCTTGAAAGTTGATTATTTGATCTGGGGTGAACTTATTGGTGAAACATTTATAAGTGATCCTATCAAAAGCTTTTGAGAAGTCAAAGTATATCACGTGAATCCTGGATCTGCAATCAATGGTGGTTGTTCATCTGTCCATTGCAGCCACTTAATTGGTTATACGGGAGTGAATTTTCGGAGACCATATTGTCAGGATGAAAAGAAGTTTAAGGATAGTAAGTAGTATTGTAGACTATCATGTACCAAGGATTACGTAAATTGTGAAACTACTGAAAAAATTGGTGCCGGCCAGCAGCCTGAAGATTTGATCTGTCGGTTGGTTGGGCCGTTAGGACCAAACACATGGGAGATTATCCAAAAGGGCAACTCATCCAGTTGTTTGGAATTCAAATGCCCACTGTTAGTAGGATGTTTTGGCCCACTTCTTTCAATAGAACTGTAGTGCAGGACTACCTGATCGCCTTTCCTAAGAAGAGTGTGAATTGATAGGTTTTCAACCAGTTCTTCATTCTTGAAGATGCTGCCCTAAAGTGATGGCGTTTGACTACTTTCTCACTGAGCCGCAAACTTCACATTTTCTAGTATTGCTGATTCTTCAATAAGATTGAAGAACCGAGTTTTATAATATTTATCAGCTCCATTGTATCTGTGAAATATTGAACTCCATTTTGCCTTTGTGCTTGATTCTTCAACCTTGTCATTTGTTTGGTGGCATACGAATCTTAGTTAGTTATCGGCTTTTACAGGCACTTAATGTTTCAAGAGTGATAGGCGTCAGTTACTAAAAAGGGAAAATTATTTTGTTTAGCGGTAGTTTAAAATTCTTATCCTTCTTAAACAGTCCTGTGACTTGGTTAGCCAATAAATTTCTGAGCTTCAAGAACCGTATTAGGTACTTTCACCCCCTAATATCTTAAGCCGCACTATTAGAGTCCGTATGTTCAGAATCGTTGATAATAGACAAGCAATTAACTGCACAAGTATTCGACGATCTCTTCATCAAGATTTGAGAGGAGGAAGGGCTATGAACAGACAGGAAAGAAGGACACCCCATCAATATATCAAGGAAAGGAGATCTTAGCAAGCATTGAAACTGCAGTGGCATAATTCTACTCTCAATAACGTGAAAAGTCTTCAACACAGTGTTGTTGAAAAGAATGAAACATTAGTAGATACGCGAATTCGAGACCAGAAGCCTGTACTCCTTGAAGATCGATCGTGTACTCACTGAACCGCGACTCTATTATTGTGAGACTATCAACTGGATGGAACTCATCACTCTACATCAACTTACTGGGCTTCAAGAAAGCAGTCGATAGCATGGACAGGATGACATCATAGAGGCTTCTTCGGCACTACGATGTCTTTGAAAATGTAGTCAACATAATAGGAAATCCTTATGATGAATTAAACTGCAAAATCGTGCATAGAGATGAATTGTTCCTGATGAGACTGAGCTCCAGATATGATTGATATTTATCTTGAACTTCGGTGGAAAGAACACACCGCTTTAAGGTCTCCAGTTAAAAAAGGTTTACCAGGTCCAAGAAGCTGCATATGTTCACTTTAGTTCTAGGAAAAACGGAAGTTTGGTTGATCAGGCAAGCGTTGTCTTCGTTTGACTTGGATCCCGTTCTAAAGTGTTGGACGATGTACGTAGTTTCCCGTTGCCTAGGGAAAGTACTTGAATCAAAGGATTGATTAAATATTGTAGTATGTAGGTACAAAGTGTCTGAATTCGATGTCTTCCAATGCTTATGTGTTGAAAATGCAGGTCATGCATATAAAGTTATAATTACTCTTGCAGTTCGCTCCAACTCGAAAAGTGCAGGTTCATACGCGTCTCACCCAATCCAGGAACAAGAACGATAATTCTGGGAGAACACGGTTCTATTTAATGACAAAAAGGGAAATACAGACAATCACCAAAAACAATATTACGCCGAGTTTCCAATCACCACAATAGGTTCCGTTGCTGGAAGAATTAGTGCTTCTAGTCCGTTACTGCTAGAGTATCAAATCCAAATATGGCTGTAGCAATATTAAATATCAAATTCAAACAACATATGTACAGTTCAGAAGGAAACATAAAAACTTCAATATAAGTACAAGATATAGAAATAATAACAATATGCAATGATAAAATCTCAAAATGGAATCAAATAGAGTACCAAAATGTCAACAGAAAGAGTCAGTCATATCATAACACAATTATATATACATGGAGGGATTTTCCAAAAACAAAACCTTAAAAATAGATTCTACAATGCATTCATGCAGATTTTGTTTAACGAAAACCTTTCCGAATGTGTTGCTGATCATTTCGCATAGTTTTTCTGAGTCACTTATAAGCCTTTAGTGGTGATCGAGTCAATACTGTCTGTGATCGCAAATAAATACTAATTCAGAGGATATCCCCTGAAGATGGAACACAAAAGAGATCTCGTGGAAATAGTGCAAACCAGTGTGTTATGGATTTCCTAAGTGAAAGATACAATGACCTCTAAAGCCGAATCTTTCAAAAATGGCTGACGATTATATCAGGTCTGTAAGGACATAGAGAATCTGCTTTAAGTGTTGACCATCTCTCACTCACGTTATTGGTTGAATTATTTTTCATTTCCTCTTCTAGGAGGAATAAATTTAACACCATACTTCGCTGCACGCCAGCTATGATTTTGATTTCCAGAAACAAACTGCTCTTTAATGCTACCGAGTAAATATATGAGTGATTTGCCGTTATAATGCAGATTTCATGACGCTTACATCGTACCTATTGTAATTCTATAGTGTAATAGAATCTAGGATTCTTAGATAATCTCCTTATACCAATTCTCATCTTTATATTTATGCCATGACCTTAAAGTCACTAATACCGATGAAATCCGTACGCGTATAAAATATGGATAAACGTAGACATTTACAACTGCTTTACTGCCTTTAATGTTTGATTATTTCTCTTTTTTCTGACATGACCTACAAGTAAAAGCAAGGTTCGCGCCACTTTGATTTCGTTTTCATGGTGAATTCGTGAGGTTTGTGTCACATTATCTTCGGAAGTCGTCTAGCGCATAAATTTTTTTTGGTAGTAGATCCTAGTCATGTTTTCCCTAGGTTTGTTCGAACATTTTCTTTTGATTAAATTTGTAGAAAAAATTTTCCCTCCACTCCCTCGAGTAGTCAGGGGTAAACCGCTTATTCTCGATGCAGACCCCAAGGGTACAAAGCTTATATATGTATCTGGAAACAGTGTCATTATTCGTTCGATTGAGGTAGTTTGGTTCCATACTTCTATTTCTTGTTTCAGAATCCTGCTGAAAATGATATGTACACCCAGCATTCAGTCGCTGTTAATGTTGCAAAATATTCACCTAGTGGATTTTATATAGCATCAGCTGGTGAGGGACTTCAAAATTTTGTAAGTTTCTAGATAATAACGGGAAAGTACGTATATGGGATACTATCAACCAAGAACACGTACTTAAATATGAATACCAGCCGTTAATGGGTAATATAAATGATTTGGCCTGGACTTCGGATAACAATCGTATTCTTGTTGGTGGCAACAGTCCTTCGAAGTAACTCCTACCTTAAAGTTTTGTTTTACTCCCAGGTTTGGTGCAGTATTTATCGTTGATACCGGATCGTCTGTAGGTACAATTACAGGCATGAGTCGAAGTGTCAACTCTGTTGATTTTCGACCTGCTCGACCCTATCGTGCAATCACTGGTAATGACGAGGGCTTAGTGAGCTTTTTTGAGGGTCCCCCATTTCAATTCAAGAACTCCTTCCAAGTTTGATGTTATGTATATGTATCACCTTATATTTTAGAATCATAAAGGCTTTACCAATGTAGTTCGATACTCGTCGGATGGGTCTTTTTTTGTTTCCGGTGGGGCAGATGGCAGGGTAATATTTCTTTAAAACGTAATTTCTCATAGCTATTCCTTCACGATGGTGTAAGTGGTGATAGACTATTGGAAGTTGGAAACCCAGCGCATGATGGAGGGATTTATGCTATTTCGTTTTCACAGAAAAGTCCCCTATGTGTTACTGCTTCTGCAGACAAGTCTATTAAATTGTGGGGTGTTGAAGCTAAAAATCTGTCTTGTCTTTCAAAGTATTCATTCGAAAACGTGTTATTGAATATGCTGGTAAGTTTTATTATTGATTTCATTTAACGTACTTTTCGCGTAATGTCTCAATTAATTGTACTTTGTTAATTTACCATTTTTTAGCGTATGTGACGTATAAAAAGTAGACATAATGAACCTGTGTGAATCCCTTCTTTGAATTTTGTTTACATTATTCTGTTCTATAACCTAAGTAGCCGCCTATCTTTAGGCACATAGGTAAAATAAATTGATCAAATATAAACTAACACCTCGGTGCTTAATGAAATCCTAACATGTATTCAGAGACGGGAAATAAAATTTCATTTGTTATAATCATTGGCTTTCTAATCACATAAGTATTATTGATTTTTTTTCGAAGATTTTGTGTTGAATAGTTGGTTAGTGATTCCTAATATTGAATCGGGCACATACGTACATCGGTTTGAATTGAAACATCTCATTAGCGTAGAGAAATGAAATTGTCAATTATAGACCAGTAAAAGTAGTAACAGTATTAATCGTAGTAAAGATTGGTTATAGATGATATGATTGGAGAATAAATAATATATTAGTGGAATGAAACAAGGTTTTCATTAGGTAATTCACAAAGTTAAGACTTAAGATCAGACAAAGAGTAAATGTGCCTGCGGTATGGCAAAATTGAGGATTTAGCCATGACTATTAGAATGTCATGTTTAACTTGAATATTAAAACAAACATACAGCTAAAATTTTAGACTTATTACTGTAAACAATAATTTATTGCTCAGTATTGATTAATTTATGCAATTTTTTCTCTGTAAACATATTCACATTCATCCATTTGGTTTTAAATCACATCTGTTAGAAGAGCGTGTAGCGCGTAACAAG